CCGAGGGCCGCGGCGCCCGCGCCGCCTTTGCCGGGCGCTAACAGCAGCAGTGAAGCCCCACCCCCGCTGCCGCCCAAGTCCCCCGGCTTCCCGGCCCAGCCGCAGAAGGCCGGCAGCGCGCAGACCTTGCCGCCCGCCCCTCCCGGGGCCCAGGTGTTCGTGCAGAAGAAGAGGCACGGCCGGGGCCCAGGTAAGCGGCGCTCGGGGACGCGCGAGGGGCCGCTCCTGTGAGCCACTAGGGAGCACAGGGGATGTCCCAAAGCCTGGGACTGTATTTTAGACCAGAGCTATTCGGTGCCCCTGGTGGAGCACATTAAAACCTTGTGCTTCGTGGAACTTAATTGTTGGAGGTATTCATTTTAGACACGGAAACCACGGGTGAGGGAGGCCGGGAGACTTGCCCCAAATCAAAATTATGCAGACGGTAAGCGAGAGATTCTGGCCTCGAGCCCCTGCCTTCACTAGCTGTGTGACCCCAGGCAACCACTTAGCCTCTCTGTGCTCCCTCTCTGGCTCTGTAAAATGGGGATAGATGACAGTAGTTCCTGCCTCCTGGGGCTGTTGTAGGATTGAGTTCTTACGCATAAGGCCCTGGGAACAAGGCCCGGCAACAGTGAGCTCTAGAGAGGTTATTGTTTTTACTGTCATCCTCCCACTCCGAATCTGAATCTACTCCCGGGGTGGAGGGAGGCTGTGGGCGTGGTGTGTTTCCAGAACCACATCTCCTGTTTCATCTCACCTGAGTTCCTCCAGTCTGGCTCCCAGCCGGCCTCCTCACCAGCCCTCAGTAGACTGGGCTTGCGTTTTCACAGCTTCTCCGTAGACTCAAGAAAACTGAGCGCCTGTATTTTGATACTGAATATTAAAAATAATTCCTGCACATCTCCAGCACAGACGGTTTTGAATTGAATGTACATGCCCACGACTGATTTCCCGGGTTCCTGAAGCGGTGAGGCTTCATTCACCTCGCCTGCCCTTGTGAATGGAAAGCACGGCCCCCCACGTCCACGCACGTCCACGCACAGCGCCCCCGTGTCCATGCACACCCGCGTCCACGCACGCAGATGCTCATAAACACACACAGCCACGCCTGCACTCACACACGCACCTCTTCTTGTCTTTCAGGAAATCTCTTGATGAAGAAAGTTTCTTAAACATTTTCTTGAATTAGAAAATATACAAGCTCGTTGTAGAACAAATAGAAGGAAATTAAAATCACCCATAATAATTGTATCACCCAGGGATGAAAACTGCCATTGAGATATGTCTCCTTCATTTTTTTCTGAATATATGTACATGTTTACATGGTACATATATTTAATACCATTTTGTACATACAGTTCTGTGGGGTTTTTTTATTTAATGTTATATTAAAAGAAATTTGTCAAATTGTTAAAATTTCTTTATAAGTATATTAATATGATCAGTATACCTCATGTTACCAGTACAGAAACAAAGGAAGTCCTTGTTCACAAAATTCTGGGAGTGAGGAAAACCTCCGTAGGCAGGACTTCTGGTTGGTACACTAGAGAATCCAGAC